GAGGAGATCAAGGGTGCCTTCCTCACTTTCCAGAAGGACGCCGACCAGATCTACCCGGGCTGGAAGGAGAAGCTTGGTTACACCGGCGAGTCCTCCGTGCAGGCGGCCAGCTTCGATTGGGCCAAGAAGGCCTAAAGTGGACGTACGCTCCTTGGTGTTGTCCGGTCCATTGCACTCAAGTTGTAAGACAGCATTTGTCATGCTCAGGGCCTTTCCCCCCCCTCTTCCGTGAGGTTCAGCTTCCTGGATCCCGTGCCCGATGGCGAGCATTTGGGTGCATGGCTCCAGCAGCTTTTAATGCAAGGATTGACGTGCAGGTTTCAGCTTCTGCGGGCTGTGCAAAGTTTTGAGGCGCTAGAGATTCAGAGAATTTTCTCAGTCGCCTTAGTCTCCTCTCGACGAGCAGTCTTGTCATAAAGGTCTGTGGGACTCTGGTACATAAGCGATGTTGCTCTCGCTCACGAAGAGGATTTTTCTCGAAGCAGACGGTAGCGCTCCCGTCAGTTCTCCCTGGCATCTGCCTGTCTCCTTCAAGAGATATGTGAGAAAGTGCTGCCATACACCTTTCGCGGCGACAAAGACGACAAAGATGCTGCAGTGCAGGTGCCAGACAATTATCCCAAACTAATTCTTTTAATTGAGATTCCAGGTTTCCCGGTAGACAGTACAGGGCTCGAAGAGCACCTGGAAAATTCGGAAATTCAGGCCTCGCGACAAAGCTGCAACTGCGCAGAACAAAAGCGAGGAGAGCCGAGTGTTCGGTTGCCAAGCTGGGAGAGAAGTTCCATCGTTCTGCAGTCTTTCGCGTTGAATCCGCCGATAGCATGGAAGGCACCTGCATCCCGCAGCCGCTGCACTGGGTCGATACATATTTCTCCCCCTTTTCCGCGTCCCGCAGCGCGTTCTTGGGATGGCCCAGCGTCCATCCAACATTGCCCTTGCTGGGGCAGCTGCAGGCACCGTGGGTGCTGCATCGATCCGTCTCTTTGTCTCTGTCTCTGTCTGTGTGCGTGTACATCCGTCTGCATGCGTGCGCGTCCGTGCAGTTCGTTTCTCGCACCGGACACCTGGCAACGAAAAGAGTCCTCGAGAGACCTGAAGACCACGATACCACGAAAAACATCATGACAGTAACTGCCAACACACCAGGACCAGCAAGTGCCAAAAGCCAAGACGGACACCAGAACTCCATGCAGTGGGCTTGCTTAGCGGCTTAGCGATTGACCACTGCAATGTCCTGGAGCTGCAGAGGGTTCTTTTTCATTACTGGAGGCGAGATCTTAGGATGTGTTCTGATTTTGTTTGAACGTGAAGGAGATGCACGTGGAAAGGCAGGGCAAGCCGACCAAGGCTAAATTTAAGTTATTGTAAAGCTGTGCGAAGAGCGAGTGTCCTGGAAGCACTGCCCTCAACTGTCGGATACTCAAACCCGTGTAAAACTGCTGGAAACAATCGCATCCTGCAACTAGACGGACAGACCATTTTCGTTTGCAGGCGGCCTGGCTCTGCTGGGCAGCACTGCCGATGCCTTCGTCGCTGCACCCCGAGAGGCAGCAGACTTGGCTTGAGGATGGTGGGAATGTAGAGTTCCCTTGAGCATCAAAGCCCGGTCAAGGAAGGCACATATCTCATGCTACTACCCAATTTCAGTCTGGCCATGTTTCCGTTTCTTTTCCGAGCTTGTACGTAGCGGCTTTGCCATGCACTTCTGGCTCAATCCCGACAATTTCGGGACGTCTCGTGTGCGGTCTGGCGATTTAGAGTTTCGAGTGCAGGGTCCACAGTCTCGTTTTTCGGCTGTGGTTCTGAGTCGGTGTGGTTTGGCTTCAGTTCCGGGAGTTTCATACTTCTGGTCATGGTTGTGGGTAAACTGAGAGTGAGACGATGAAGTTAGCGAGAAGGTGTGAGAAGAGTGATTGCATAGTCCACGGTTGGACATTCGGAAGTGATCACGCGGCAGTTCGGAAGCAGAAAAACCCTTATCGGACAGGCCAGTGCGCCCAGCCTCCGCGGCACCTCCGTATCCCAGGTGCAGGCAAGGGTGTTGCCTTCGGCCTTTCAATTTAGCTCCCGAAGCACAGCCTGCACCAGGCTCAAGCCGCCAGCAGTTCGTCCTTCTCGGTGCCTTGGCCAGACATGGCTTGGCTTCTTCGGCTTTTCAGCCCACCCCCCCGGGCCCCGGCCAGTACCAGGGAATTCCTTTTCCCAAGAGCCTTGTTTCCGTGGACTCCCGGTGATTCTGTGGTGCCTCTCTGGAATCTCTGCGTTTGAGGGGGCCCAGAGGGAAGCGAGGCTCTGGCTGCCGGTGGAGCTGTCGCTGCAGCAGCTGTGGCTGCCAGCCGATCAGGCGCTTCTCGCAGACTTGGTTCCAAAGATTGATGATTTTTTCTTCAAGTGGTCTTTGACGGGACGGCTCCGGCAGAGCTCGCAAGATTTCGTTCAGATCTCGCAGAAAGTCTTGTTGCAAGGATTCAGGTCTGAAGGACTCGTGAGTGGTAGTGACGCTCGCGCTTTTGCTGGTGACGGCGGTGCTGGTGCTGATGGTAATAGTCATGAAGATGTACGGGACAGAATTGAATCTTTGATAGCATCTATGCCCGCCCCTTCTCAGGCCGCCAGGCTCGAAGCTCCGTCCTTCCTACAACCGTGGTGCCTGTCAAGGACATTCTTGGTTGCCGACAATTGGGCAAGTTGAGCCGCAATCCTTCGTCTAGAACCCTAGAACTCCTAGAACCTCATTTTTAAACTTCCAGAGATCTGCGGCCCTGCAGATCCGGCAGATCCGGCTCCGGGCTGAAGGCAAAAATCCGACGATCTCTCAGAACCCGCGAGCTCTGAAGGCCCCTCAGCCCTCCGGCCCATGTAGTCGCGGCAACAAAAACAGCAAGGACTAGGGGATCGCGCCAATAACAGCTTTTTGGGCTTTACGCCCCTGACTGCGACCAGGACAGCCGCGTGACACGCCGGGCGCTGGACCAGTCGAGCCGATATGCGGACCTGTCCCTGGACGAGGCCACGCTGATCAAGCTCCTGGGCCTGAATGCGGACACACGTGCATACAAATATTGCGATGTAGAAGTCGCGCAGCTAGCAATGTACAGGGAGACATGCCGAAGCCAAAAAAAACGCCGAGATCTCCGCTGATCAGCAGATCAGTTTTGATGTTGTCACAAGGAACGGCAAGCACGTGCTTGTTGCGTACATCATGAAGCCGAAGGCGGGCTACGACTACCTGGCCACGGCCGCCCACTTCGCCGCCGAGTCCTCCACAGGCACCAACGTGAACGTGTGCACCAC